TTTTTTTTGTGAAATTTGACGTTAATAAAATGTTACCAGGAGCATATCATTCCACAGTCATTTATCTCCCCCAAAGTATTGGTTCAGTAGGGGTGACACTTGTATTGTCCAGTGTGTGTGTGTGTGTCCATAGGCTCTATTCCCATAGATTTTAGATCGATCTATCCCCGCGGGGAGTCTCACTAGATTACTTTCAGATAATCCGACTTAAATGTCCGTCCCGCCTACTACAAGCTGAAATGAGGTAATTAACTTTCGTGTCCGCCAGGCTGACAGCTATTTAGCGTGAACCCCCAGGGAGTTAGGTCGATCCAAAGTAGGTCGATCTAATCTATGGAAATGGGATGTAACTCTCTGGCCTTGGATAGGAGATATTTTGGGTCCTACCTCTGGCGAATCTCACGCTGAAAAAAAATGCACATAATTAATCTGCCATGATCTGTGACCCTGGTAGAGGGTAGTTTCGATTCGACGCGGATAATTTAATTTTATTGACAAAAGAGGATTACTACATGACTCTATGCTTCAATCGTTTATTCAGTAAGGGGGGAGGGAAAGAGAAATCCAATCCCCTACACCAGTTGCTATTTTTTTTAAATTAATTGTTAACCTCCCTACACCATCCTATTTAAATCTACTTCCTATGCACCTGATATTGGACTGAGAGTGCATGTATATATATATAGTGCGCTTTCAGATTGACTCTGCTGATTGTTCTCTATTTTTTTTTACTTTCGGTTTTCTTGTTCTTTCTATTGCTTTCCCTTGCTTTATCAAGTTGGGTTACTTTCACCAATTCGTTTAACAAAGTTAGCGCATGCATCGATCCCAGCAAAATACCAACTGAAAGGAAATTAACATAACAATAAGGCTTTAACGCGCAATCGCTTTTCAGGTTGACCTCGATAGGCAGTCGCAGTTCCTTGGATACGAGTAAACACTTGAGAGAACCGCGTGTTGATACACATACCATAACAACACTGCCCGAGTTAAGTCGGCAGCAGAAAACGTTGGAATAAAATAGTGTCGCGCAAAGACAGGCCTGCCGCAATGTCATTCAGTCCGTATGGTCCACAGCCAGTATTAATTCCCCCGCCGAGAGGGGCACCAGAAAACGCACTCAACAGGGTGCCTCAGATCACAGAATTTGGTAGAATCGGCTTTAAGCAGGACGAGCTCTACTGGCCATGGTTTCTTGACACCAGCAGCACTGGGGACATAGCCGTGGCCGATACCGACAACAACAGGATCCAAGTGTTCAACACCCATACCCACAGCGTCGTTTTCCCACCCTACGGGGTCCAGGGCCAAGGAACCAACAAGGGAGAGCTGCTTGCCCCAAGGAGTGTTAAATACAGTCCCATCCCCGAACTTCACTTCACCGTCGCAGACACTGGGAACAGGCGAGTAGTGCTTCTTCGTATTAACTTTAAAAGCGGTTGCCTTGAAGAGGTAGGAGAATTCGGTCGCACGATATTCCGAGAGCCATCCGATGTTTCTTGCGACTGGCGCACAGGAAACATGTACGTCACAGACACCAGTCTGAACAAAGTGACAATTCATAACAAATACGGAGAGCTCGTCAGCGAGCTCCGGCCTCAACCCCAGCGTCCATTCTATCAACCCATGGGTGTTGCCGTAGATGAAAACGGACGCGTTTTTGTCACAGATATGGGCAATAACGCCGTGAAAATTTTTGATCGTAATGGCGATTTCATTCAGGAGATCGGTGGGCTAGGTACTGGGCTAGGACAATTCAACCGCCCAAAAGGGATTTGCATCGACAGAAAGGGTTACATATACATTGCCGATGAGGGGAATTCCCGTGTTCAAATGTGGTCATCCGATCTCAAGTACATGTCAGAGATCATCACAAGCACACCAATGCCAAAGGGGGTTGCAGCCCATAATCAACTGTTCGTCACCACCGGCGATCAGTACAACTTCGTGAAGGTGTATAACATGTGAGCCTCTTGTCATTGAAAAAAACAAACATTTCAGACAGTAGGTACCATTCCTACATTCATAACGTAAAGATACACGTACTGTGACACCGAATTGAACTGGATGACACCGCAGGAATATATATACTATTTTTCATATTCTTGACAGTTTTGTCCAACCTCATCACCAATTTCAGATGTGAAAACCAGGACTGACCCAGTACTCAGGTCATGTAAAAATATGAGGGGATTCTTTATGAGAAAATCTCCTACTGCATTGGGTTTAGACCTTAACAATCTATAAAATACTGGTTACATTTGAAAATGAGATGGGAGGGCTGAAAACAATTTGAAATACCCCAAAGTAGTGCAACAGTACATAAATCAAATGTAAAATACTTGAAATTCATCAAAATATATCCAAGTTATATGTCAAGTTCAGCATACACCCAATTTTTAAAATGCGACTTATGTATATGACATTTTAAGACAGTCACCCAAAACATGATCACTTCCATCTTGTTGCAATCAATTTGTAGATTGATATGTGCTAAGAAAGTCAATACAAACACAATCAACACTGTGAACTATGTTTTTATTGTTAATGTATGTTTGGCTTTATTCTTATTCGTGTATAGTTTCAGTAAACAATTTTAACTGATCTTGTCAGCATGTAGTTTCACATATTTTGTAAGGAAATGCAGCATATAGTCTTTCTCAACTGTTATTACTTTTTTCACTTCATCCATTACCATTTCTTCACAGTAATAAAATCAAAAGCTGCTGAAGTGAGCAATTATATCACTCACAGCACAAGCCACTATGTAACCAAATCACAGTGGATTTATAGCTGTCACTCGGTAATTCAGTCAGTTTACTGATAAAATTGTACAGTGTCTCATTAAGAAATTCAGTGCTTATGAATATGTTAATAAATTAAACATCAAATGCTGTATCTTTTCATCTTATGGATCCTGTCACTAGTAAAAACCACTGTAAGTGATCTTGGGGGGGAAACAGTTGTGATATCTTCTCTCACTGGTTAGAAGAGACCATATTGTTGGCATCACTCACTTTCTCAGGCGTGTTCTGAAACATATAAACAAATGTGTAAATAGCAGCAAACTATGGCAATAAATAAATAAATAATAAAAATCTAAAAAAGCACTTATTTTCTTTCTAAATATGAGAAATACAAATAACAACAGAACACTGGATTCAAATACTAAAATAAAGAGGTGCACATGGTGAAAATCTCACTTTTATGAATTGTACATGAAAAGATATTTTCAAATATATTTTTTATTTAAATTTCAGATTGAAACTTAAAGAAAAAGCATTGCTGTTTATGCCAACATAAATAAATCAAGATAGATCATATTCATATACAGATTGCATAAATGACCTCATTACAAATCAAAACAGATGGTTTCTGTGTTTGACATTCAGGATTAACAACACTAAGCATTATGCACTATTTAATATCAACTCCAACATTCAATAATTTTTTTTTCATGTAAATGTCCAAATGATTGTTTTTCTCACTCAAGTGCCCCTGCAAGTGTACATGCTGATTAAAAGTACCAGACAATTCTTATAAAAGAGACCAGGAGCAATAACATATTATGCTCTTTCTATCTCTTTACATAAATCAGCAGAAAACCTGCACAAATCAGTCACCAATCTTAAGTATTCAATGAAGCTTTCTTTCAGTTATTCCAATTAGTTAAGTACCTGTGGTGATAACAGAGGCATTCCTGCCTGTATCAGGTCTGGGTTCAGCAATAATGGCACTTGATGCTGGTGCTGTAGAGGCTGTAGAGGCATGCCTG